GATTAAGAGGGAAGAGAGAGCCAGTTCAGTGCAGGCAGAGAACTAGTTACTATGGCAACTGTTTTCTTCTTTGAGCATAGGTTGGGAGGATTCCCTTGCAAGGGGATTTCTGTGCAGTCACCAGGCTGGGAGGAGAGGTTGCTTCAAGAATCTCATTTGACAAAGGCAGCATGGCTGCACTTTTGAACTCTGCTGGGGATCTGGGGGAGTAGGGATAGATTTGTAGAAGAGTTTGATGCTCATCCAAAAGCAAACCAGATGTTTAAGTGCCTGCACTCATGGGAGAGAGTACTAAACTGGGACTGGATTAAAAGTGATACTCATCCCATAGTGTATTGTTCCATAGGTTGCAAGTAGGTCCGAAGCTGGTACTGTACCATAGTACTCCACACAACCAGGAGTTTCAAAGATGGAATTTTAAAAAGAAATAAAAGAATGTTTAGCTAATTCCTACTGTATTTTTAAATCTGAGATTTAAATACAGTTCCCAGCTGGATTTCTTCAATGAGATTAAATTGGTACAGAGTAAGAAATTAAGTAACTTGTAATACAATAAAGGCTTGGTCAGTCTGACTCCAAAAGAAGTCATTCTCTGGGACTTGAGCCAGGTAATGTTATCTTGGCATGCGGCTTGGAGTACCTGGCACTGTACAAACTCTAGGTCTTTGTGGTTACCTTAGACCAACAAAGCAAATGAATGAGCATATTATCATTTCAGTAGGGCTGCTTTCTGATGCAACGCTTCACTTGCATTCACAGAAGACATATAAATAAATACCAAGTCAGTGCCTATGGTAAATCCCTCACCTTTAGCTCTTGTTAACTCTGTGTGCTCTGGGAGGTATATTTCAGGGGACAAAATTGCACCTTGTTTTTTTGTTGGCATTTGGTGCTGGAAATTAAACAAATACAGAAAGAAAATAAGACAACCTATGATCATCTCAGATTTAGTCCTGAAATTCTCTCTCTATGGGTCAAAGCACAGAAGGTGTTGCAAATTCCCTCGGTAAGGGGGTTGAGCAAAGGGGGCTTTGGAGGAAATACAAAGTCCCCCTATTCTCCCTAGGCTACTTATTGTTGATTTTTCCACACACTATTGTTGCTGGAGACACAGATCAAGGAGAACGTTGTCTGCCACAATCACACTACCCATCCTGTCACTGAGGAAGAGGAATGGGGGACAGCTGTACAGTTTCTCTTGCAGTTGCATCTTGCCTAGGTGGCTAACACAACTTCAAACCTTCATAATCGTTGGCTTTCAGAGTAGAATTTTTTTGCCTGTTGCTGCAGGGAATAAGAAACGTCAGCCTTAATGTCTGTCCAAAATTCATTAAGGGTCTTACCAGATGTAGAACCAAGGAATCAAAAAAATGAAAGCATGCTCGCTGCTCCAAGTGCATCTTGAACACAGAACTAGGCTGAGAATATTTTGCTATCATAAAATGCTCACTTGTGAGCAGTACGCTGAAGAGGTGAGCCAAGAGGCTGAGGGACTCAAGGACAGCGCTGAACTCTCACCAAACTTGCAATGACTACGCAGTTCCCATGTCAAAGTCTCTGGTCTCAGCCTGCTTCCAGGAATTTCACAAACTCCACAGCAACCTGCTACTGTCCATAAGGAATATTTATCAACAACTGCTATTCAGAAGTCTGTAAGCTTTTTCAGTGGAAATAAGTATCTGCAACCTTCTACAAAAGTATCATTCTCTCTGTGCCATGTGGCAGATCCAACCTTAGCTTGCATTTGATCTTGCCAGTAAAATCTGGGTCTGCTTGGTATAATAGCAAGAAAGGCTTGCGAAAGAAAGTTAAGTGCTTTACAAGTCAGAATTCTAGACTTAGCTCTTTTGTGAGCAATTTCTACTGCACTAATGCAATTGGAATGAATAAAATCACTCATCAATCCAACTGCAATTCCGTTTGCTGCAGATATACAAATATTACAGAAAACCTGGAAATATATTTTAATAAGCTTTAGTAAATCACACAATTCAGTAAAGTAACAAATGGTTCATTTATATTGTCATAGGAAAGAGACATAGTCCCTCTCCTGATTGAATATTCTGTCTTACTGGTTCTGACTGCATTCAGAACCAGTGAAAAGTAGAAATTTCCATCAAGACTTGGTGAAGAAGTGTTTCTGTTACTGCAGAGGAAGTGGTGGAGTTGCTGACCGCTGTATTCAGCCCCTGAAGTAAGAGATTACACGGTCATGGTATGGGGCTGAGAGGGAAGTAAATTGCAGAGAAAAAAACATTGTTTTTTGTTGTCTGAGAGGAAGGAGATTTCTGTGAAGAGTAGTTTTTTCTCACTCCGCACTGACAGAAGAGGTCATACACACTCTCAAGCCTCTGCTGACCCCAGAAGAAGGGATCTTAGTCCAGGTTGTCCCTTGCTTACAGCATAATTAGTCATTATGTGTTTTGACTGTGCCCTAACACTACTTATCTCAGTTGCTTCCTTCACAGGCTTTAAAGACAGGTTATCCAGGGGATTCAGGCAGCTGATTTATTCTCTTAATGGGTCTCATTTAATAGATGCTACAGTAGAGTAACCTATTGAATAGAACCTGAAATTGAACATAGATACAGAACTCATGTGTGCCATCTACAAAAAAAGCGTGCTAGTGCATCTTGGTAGCTATAGTGTAAAATCTGGCATCAGAACATGAAGACATGTTTGCCTTTTTCCATTACTTAAGCAGACAGCTGGTTGATTGACTAATCCAATGGGTAGGATACTGCATTGTTACCCAACAACAAGGTGTTTGTAGTGCACAAGAAATGGAAACAGGAGCCAGTTGCTGCTGAGAACATAATCAAGTATCTTAAGTCCAAGTCCACTATTTAAATTGTTCAGTCTTGGAGTGTTTGAGCCAATATTCAGTAATTAATTTCATTCTTTGAGTTTTTTCTGATGCCTTTTAGGTTTCAATATATTCTGATATTAGCAGAAGTTGAAGTTTTGTTGAATTTGACTAAATGTATTATCTAAGTGTAATAGATTTCTCCTTAGCAGCAGAAAAAAAAAAAAATTACAAGCAGAAGAGGTTTGGGTTTTTTTTTCCAATTGTTTTATTTGTATGTGGAATTAAAACTTACGTAAAGTACCATCTTAGTAGCTCTACGATGAGAATTGCTCTTTGTCCATTTAAAATATACTGTATGAAGTAGTATAATTTCTGCTAAATTGCTCCTCCTGCATGCTTTGAGCCCAACCATGCAGGTTCTTAGGTAAGAGAAGAAAATTACATATTTTCATGTTTAGTGAAACCAGTACCTGTCTTTCCACATACTCTACCGGGTTTTGCATCACGCCTTCAGACCATTCATCTTCGGCACTGCTGCCTAGGCTTTCAATAAAACTAAGTTCATGCCCTTGCTGCCACATGGCTTCCTGTTAATTCAAATCAACTACATTTGAAATGCACAATTTAAAGACAAAAATCATCTTAACCAATAACAAATTCCCTAACCCACATTTACTTTCTGGGAATAATGTAAGAATTTTGGTAAGTAACATACTGATATGCCTTCATATCAACTAAACTCGCAAGCCATTATGATTACTTAACTTTATTTCTGTGTGAGTTCTATCATGAGTGCTTTATTCTCACCTTCACTGCACTGTATGTGCTTGTGGCTCCCTAGAAGATAGGCCATGTTTGTTGTAAAGCACTCTGAACAATTTTCAAGTGAGTTACACCCTTTCTGTAAATTCAACAATAAATCATAATGAGTTACTAATTACTAATAAAGTGTAAAAAAATAAATGACATAATGAGCAGAACAAATGTCAAAGGAAATGTGGGTATGGGCTTCATATAGACACAGGATACTTATCAAAATGGAAGTCATTACGGGACTAAAGCCCAAACTAGACTGACACTAAGAAAGGGTGTGTTGTAATCAAAAGGATATAAAACAGATAGAGCCATAATTTCCCTATCTCCTCCTATTCTCTGAGGCTTTGAAAGAGACTATTTGAGGTTTTGAAGCAGAGTTTATGACTTGGTATGAACCTACGTCAGCAAAACGTATCAGTACGAACAAGTTGGGAGTTTACTCTAGAATTCTCTCTACCCAGGAAAAACAAATCTTTTATTTCTCTGAATTTTCTGCCTTCCCACACTATTAGCAATTTAGAAGAAAATCAGTCAAATAAGTCAAATTAGGAAAAAAAAGAAAAAGGTCCTGTTACTCATGCTATGACAAAGCAGTGTGAAGCTTGAGCACTCAGAAACAGAAGGGCCAGTTAGAAAGCTGAATTTTTCTGGTATTTTCACCACTTCTTCCCACATGAACAGACTTCATCAGCACTTCTTGCAGAATGGGCTTTCCATCTGCAGAACTGTTGGTTTTTTTTTGTTATTCAAGACCAGTGATATTGTCAGGTACTTCAGCAGGGACCTGCAAAAGAAAAGGCTTCTTCATCACCCTGTGTTGCCATCTCCAGCAGCAGTCACCCTCTCCAGTATCCTAATCTGTGCTCAGATTAAGGGATTTTATTTCATAAATGAAGAGCTGAGGCACAAATGGGAGACACAGAAACAGTGTCTCTTCTGTTCCAGTTTGGCCTCCCTAACTCATGCAACTTCCTCTAAAGTACGGTCTGGTATAACTCAGCCATGTCAGTTTTGGTTGTGCTGAAGCGGCTTTGCCAACACAAAGCAGTTCTGAAGCCAGTTCCGGAGCTTTCTTGTCCCTTCTCTGTAAATACTTGGGCAATTTGGTTTTTTTTCCAGCACTGAAAGTGCACTGAAGTGCCAAAGTGCAGTGTGCAGACAAAATGTGGGTGCTGCCCTTGCAGTGAAATAGTTTGGGATGAGGGAAGGGGCATATTAGGAAGTCCCTCACAGCCCCGCAGTCCCCAATTTCAATGATCACCACAATAATGGCAGCTATTATTAAAAAAGCCCACAAGCTTCTCATATATACAGTAGAAGACTATCAAGGGAGAACAGCCAAAGGAATAAAAAAAAAATCACAAAGTAAAGGTAGTTCAAAGCTTAAGGGTGATTTTTCTTTATTGCTCATTTCTGACGAGGCAATATAACATACCAGGGACCGTCTCCATCTCCGCTGGCTGCAGGAGGGCAAGGAAAGCTGGGGCTCCTTCCAGCTGGCTGTGACATCACGGCTCTGACACTCATGTGCTTCCAAGGACCTAAAGGCAGGCGCTGACGTTTCCCGTAACAGGAGATCTTTCCACTGCCAAAACCAACAAAGAAACTCACACTGCATGTGGAAGTTATTTTTCTCCTTGTAGCTTACTTTTCTGTACAGATACTATTTTCTTCTGAGCTTCGTGTAGCTTACCTTTCTGTTCAGATGTGATTTCCTCCTGAGCCAACAGAGACCAGTTTACTACGTAGGCATGAATCAGCCCTCACACATGAGAACTAGGAAACCCAATAACTTTCCGTAAGAAGCAGCCTTAAATAAACATGCTGCTGGTTACTGTAATCCGCTCTGTGCAGCAGACATTTCCCACGTTTTTGTGGCAAGCCACGGGGGTGAACGGCAGCAGCACGCTACAAAGCACAGCCAGCCCTTAGGGTGTACCGGCTCAGTTTAACACCGCATCACCAAAGACGCAGCGAAGGCGGCTCCTGCCGCTGCCCTCAGCGCTCCCCTCTGCCTCGGCCCCACACACCGGTGGCGGCACCGCTCTGGCTCGGGCCTCCCCAGTTACATCCTCAGCAGGCTTGAAGCGCCGGGCCGAGCGGCAGGTGCGGGCCCGAGCCCTCAGCAGCGGGCGCAGTGCTTAGCCCGGCGGGAAGGGGAAGCGGGACCCCAAGGGATCTAAGGCGCCGCGCCGCCACCGCCGCGGGAGACAGAGGGGAAGGGTCACCTTGCGCCGCGCTCCCTGCCCCGCCCGCTCCGACCCCGAGCTGCGCGCGCCGGTCGCCGGGGCAACCGGGGATCCGCCAATCGCCGTGCTCGGTTGCCCGCCCCTCCCGCCACGGGGGGGACCGCGAGGACGCGAGCGGGCTGGCGCCTCGTGCTCCCTCGCCCGCCAATCACCAGGCGCCCGGGGACCCGACAGGCGCGCGCGCACACCCCTCGCGCCCGCTCGCAGCTTCTCCCTCTTCCTCCGCCCCCTCCCCGAAGAACCAATCCACCTCCGCTCCAGGCTGCAGCCTAACGCCGGTGTCCAATCAGGGCGTGAGGCGAGCGGGCCCGCGTGCCGGACTGCCTATAAAACGGGGGGGCCGGGCGCGAGCGCGCTGCTCACTCGCTGCTGGCGGTCCCGGCAGAAGGAAGCACGCGAGGTGTGGGAGCGGTAGAGCGCGTGAGCTGTCGCGCTCTCTCGCCCATCCGCTCTTCGCCCCAACGGCCGCGGCGCCCGCTCCCCGTTGCCGCCGCCTCCTCGCCAGCCCGCCTCACGCTATGAAAACTAAGTTCTGTAACGGCGAGACCGACCCTTCCCCGCTTGGGCTCCTCCTGGGCTGCAGCTCCGGCGGGGGGGCCGTCGTCCTGCCCGCCGCCGGGCAGCCCCCCTCGCCGCTGGCTCACGCCGACCCCGAGCGGAAAGACCCCGTAGCGGCGGGCAGGGGTGGGGGTGCCACGCCCCCGCCTTCAGCGCTGCCGCTGCCGCCGCCGCCTGGAGAGGAGCCGCCGCTCGACCCCCGGACGCGGCGCAAGGCGTATCTGTGGTGTAAGGAGTTCCTGCCGGGGGCCTGGCGGGGGCTGCGGGAAGAGCAGCTGCGCATCAACCCCATCAGGTCAGCGCTGTGGACGGAGGGGGGCGGGGCTGGTCTCTGTGGGGAGGGGGCGGGGCCGGAGTCCGAGCCGCTTCCTGAGGTAGGAGGTGCGGGAGATGCGGGTCTCCGTTTTCTTTTTTTTTTTTTTTTTTAAATTGAGATCCTTCTAAATTCACTTCTCTGTGCGGAACGGAGCAGGCTGGCTCTCGCATGGGAGGTGGCTGCGCATCCGCCTCCCGCGTTCGTTCTTGATGCGGCAGGGCGAGGCCACCTGGGTCCACCGCCTCGGTGCGGGGAGTCTCGCTCAGGCTCTGGGTTCGTTACGTCAAAACACACCTCCCCAGCACACCCCATCCACCCGCCCTTCGGGGGCTGTTGGTGCAAGGTGCCTGGTGCTGCAGCGCGACGGCAGCGCCTCCGCCCTGAGCCGAGGGAGGGACCTTGGTGGTAATAGTGATGGAGCCGGTAAAAACTGCTGCACCGTGTGCAGAGCTGTCTCCTGGGAATAACAGTGCCTTTTGGGGTGGCTTTTGGCATGGTCCCGACGGTGCTGAAAATCAGAAGTTAGCAGGTACATGCGGTGTATCGGTGATGTGAGTCATCTTTATATATATATAGTAACAAGTACTTGTGACTCAGCACGTTCACAGCAGACATACGTAAATTGGAGGTGTTCTGGAAGCCCTGTGTAGTGTGTTTGACAGCCTTGCCTTCTTTGTGGAATTAAATAGTCCTGTATGTTAGTCCTGTATGCTGGTTAAACCAGTGTTGGCTCAGACTTGTGTTTTTACAGACTGCTTGTCCAGCATCTGAGTGCTTGATCATTCTACCTGGTTAAGTGTAGAATTCACATACATTTTCAAAGAATATGGCTGTAAACGTCTTCCCTTGAGTTTCTAGTTTGCTTTCCTAGTGTTTCTACTTTTGTTGATACATGAAATACAAGGAAGTCTGCTCCCAGTTAGCTAAGAAAGCATAAACTGTTGGTAAAGTGCTCATACATAAAAGTAAAATGAAAATCCATCATGCTCATTTCTAAATGCAATTTAAAAGCTGTAACAAAAAAAAAAATGAGCAACTGATCAAAAGTCAGTACAGATTGTATTTTTAGATCATTTCTTCTCACTTGACATGATCATAATAAGTTTATGATGGGGAAGAATTTTTAGGAGACGGATATGTTCCTAGGTAGTAGGCTAGTCTGAGAGTATGTCTGTAATCTGACTATCTAAAGTGTTTTCATCCTTATTAGTGTGTACTTCTGACTTTGGTACTGGTTTTCTAAAGCTTTAGAGTTTAGCACAGATATTCTTGAATTTTTTTGAAACTTTTCCTCTGAGGTACTACTTCAGAATGGCTTGATGGTTTCTGGATTGGGAGAATAGAGGATGGTCTGAAACTTGAGAATGTGTAAAAACCGTGCTAGCTGGCAGTTGCCTTTACTTTGGCAAAAGTCTTCTTGCCACTTCTATGTATGTAGACTGCATCATACTGGTTTGCTGATCTAGCTTCACAGAAGGCAAGCATTCTCCAATGTCTGTCCATATTGCGATTTTTTTTTTTTCTGCATTATTGCACATCATGTTCTTGAGCAGCTGTTAGGTACTTGCCATCATAGGATGAAGGGGTCTAGTCCTTATTCTTTGAGAGCAAAGAAATGGATTTGCATCTATTCAGAATGCAAGTATAATGAGGTACACCTAACTACTGTGTCTGTGCTTTGGGGAAAGCTACAGAGGCTTTGAAAGTAGGTGACCCTTTTGTAAGGGCTTCTCTTATAAGTAATTTGTAGCAGTAGACTAACTACTAGCTTTATCTGTATGAGTGACATTTGCCCTTTTGACCCTTAAGCAGACTGCTGAATCTACTGACCTTTCAGGAGAATAATACATTTTATTAGACACCCATATGGATTTACTTAATTAGTACCTTTCTAAGTCTTCAGTGCATAAAACTGTAGTGAAACTTCTTGTTTAATGGAGTTCAGCCTCAGTAAGCTACTCCTGTTTGGCTGGAGAGGTATAAAAAGTTTCTGGGCTTTCATGCACTGTACGTAGGCTGAGCATGTGTTTAAATAACAATTTTACTGGATTTTGCTCTCTTCCAGTGTTGTTTTTGTAAAGTGAATTTCAATGTGTTTGAACATATCAATACTTAAATAGAAGAACTAAAGCATACATCGGAGGCTTAGAAAAGATAGGGAACGGTTTTAAAAAAGGTGTCTAGCACAGTTTAAATGAAGCCAGAAATATAGCTGGTATAACTAACCGTTGTTCTGATTGCATCTGAATAGTCTGGCTTTGCTTTTCACTTGATATCCTTTCCATCTGTCTGGTTTTTCTACCTGTTCCCTTTCATGGTTCATATCTCTTGTCTCTAAACATCTTTTTTTGGATACCTGCCAAGCCACCTGGTTCTCTTCAGTCTTTATTGAGCATGTGTGCCATGGCTGGTTTACCCTATCTTCCTGAGATCTTTTTTTTCTTCCCTTCTCAGTTGTTGACTTTGGATATGTAGGCCAGTACTCCTTTTCTGTGTTGCCTCCCAGTAAATACAGGTTGTCTACTTCTTGGTAGCCTTTTCCTCCAGAGAATCTTTACTGCTTCTCCACTGCATTGTTAAGAGAACCCAGAAAAAATATTTGAATAAGCGTCGAGAGGAGTGTCAGGTTAGGACTAAGAACATTTTAGATGCTGCATTTTGGATTTGCCATGGATTCATGAATCAAAGCTTACTGCAAGGCAATATTAAATACTTATGTTTGCGGTATTGTGAAAAACTTCATTACTTTGTGAAGGAAATCACAACATGACAGGTATTTTTGATATTATTGTAGAGTTACTGCATTGAGTTACTTAGCATGCCACAAGTAAAATTACTTGCTTTTAAAATCTGTGCTGCTCATCCCTTTTACTGCTAGCTACTGCATTTGGATTGTATCTGGTTTAGAAAGTTCTTCCTTTTGTGATGTGACAGACAAGTTCTTTGGGTTTTTGGTGGTTTTTCTTCCGTAGAGCTGATTTGCGTTCCTGTCCTGCAAGTACATGAGACCTGTCGGTACTTTGTCCTCTTAAGAGAGGAACAAGTAATAGGGGAAAAATGTATTGCAGAAAGGAAATCTGAAAACTTGTTAATGAACAACTTGCTAAGAAGGTGCAGAAAGACCATGTAGTAAAGAAAATGTGGACTGAATAGACTGGTTCTTAGCAGGCTACTAGAAATCAAGAAACATAGCTTATCTAACCTGGTATCTATCTAGCTTTATAAACCTGTAGAAAAAAAGTGCTGTTACTTTTTGCTCTAAGAACACTGTTGTAAAACAGTGGTTGTATGAAAAATCATCATGGTTGTATAACCCCTGAATGACTGAAGCTTGCATCTTGCCTGATAAGGTTCTGAGGCTGACTTCAGGTTTGTCAAATACATAAGCAATTTCTTTAAAGAACTGCTTTAATTGGAATTTAAAAATTGAAAACGAGTCATTAAGGATAACAGTGTAAATAAGACTTTTATCAGTGATGCTGTAGCACAGGTGTTCAGGTTAAATCTTCATAGCTAATCTTTGTAGCTGCCATCCAGGTGATACCTGGATACCTAGCTCTTAATTTAAATTTAGTGGCTTATACTCACTGCATGGGTTTAAAGTTTATTCTGCTGTTGCCTTGGTTGGTTGTGCAACCAGCTATACCTGATAAGACTCCCAGCATCACTTCCTAGAAGTCCTGAAAATAATCAGTAGAAGCCTACATATTACCTTAGTTGCCTATATATTTTTTTCATGGCTTGGGCTGTAATTTGGATCAATAGGTCTTGATGGTGAACTATACATTAAGAAACAAGAAGCTTCTGATTTTTGTTTTTTTTTTTTATTGAGGCCTTGTATTGTCATGAGTTATTTTTACTGTTGGATAAT